CTCAGTCTAAAAATGTACATGCCTGGCTGCAATTTCCTGATAGATGTCGGACTTTGAGTTGCTCTTGATAATGGAGACCCACTACTGGGTTTCTCAAAATCTCTTACGTTATCTTGAGATATTTTTAGTAGGGGACACTAACAAAGCTCAAGATTTAGATTATGAAATAGGTTTAGATTATGAAAACAACAGGAGCTGTGTGGCTGCCTCTCAAGTGGCACCAATTATCTTCGTGTGTGAAAATGGAAGGGATGGCTTGTGATATAAAAAGAAAGGGAGGGGGGCTGTAAGTAGTAAGGAAATAGTGTGGAGCTGTTCCAAACCAGAAAAGTCCTGGTAGAGAAAAATGAAGAAATCTGTAAAACAGGAGAGTGTCCTGTATACACTGGTGCAGAAAGAGGTGAGGAAAATGGTTTCTGTCAGCAGTATCTTCTTGGCTTAATCTGTTCTAGTGGCATGTGTTGCTGCTCATGATCTGTAGAGAGAACAGGACTGAAAATTATTAGTATTAGAACTATTGAGAAGGTACTGCTTCCCTAATCCTAAATACTTCCTGTTGCTGGAGACTGTTGGGTTTACTATTTTCACTGTGTCAGAAATACATAGCCTACTTCACACAAAATTGCATTTCTCAGCATAGTTTGAATTTGGCTCTTGCCAAATCATTGTGCTTGTGCACTACTGACTCATACTGAAGTGTTTAGAGAGACTTCTGTGAATGCAGAGCAGGTGATGTGTGTCTTGGAAGTGAGAACTTGTTTTTACTGAGAGCTCTGTTTCACCTTTTCCCTCAGTTGCTGTCTTGGGTAACATCACAAGACCTTTATTTTTGAACTGGAGTAAATTCCATTAGTATGGTTTTCCATTTCCTGTTACTACATGTCTGTAATTCAGGCATTTTCCTTTCTTAGTTTAAATGTATGTCAAAATAAATAAGAGCTTCTACGTTCAAGTAAAGTATTCATTCTTGAGGACAAAAGTGAGTCTTCCTATTGGTACTCTACTTATGAAGTTTTCATGATGGTTCTGCTAGAATATATGTTCCCACAGTAGGCAATGATTTATCTAGAACATATATATATGCAGGAATATAGTGAGTTTGTAACTACTTTTATAAACTAGTTCAGAAGTAATAAATCATTATGTATATTTATATATATTATGTGTATCTGTGTTATATCTAGAAGAATGACAGTTCTTGTTTCTTTGTAAGGTCAGTATAAATGGTTTGTTCATTGCAGGGCACTTTCAGTTGCTACAGTGTTGCAAGACTTTAATCAGTAGGAAATCTTAAGGTCGGTGGTGGTGATTTTTCAAAGTGATCACTTGATTGGCAGAGCAGGGGATGGTTGTTAGTAATTTAGAGAGGTTGCTTTGGAGCTGATTTGTACAACTGAATAATTTGTGCCTTTTTTTTTTTTTTTCACAAAGGCCTTATTCCATAAATATTGAAGTATTTTGGCTCCTGCCACAGAAGAAAAGATAAATTTATCTTTATGGGCAGTGTGTGAGTGCTAATGGCTGGGAATGAACTTGAAAGTGTGGTTTGTTAGCTCCTGCTCTAGGCTGCTTTATTTCATAACTTCTCTATTCAAAATCATATAAAATCTTTATAGATGAGCTGTGTTAATAGAATAAAAGATTTTTATTTTGTGCTCTACAAACTTGCTACAAATTTAAGCTGTTCCAATGGTTGTATCTGTGCTCCTTAGTGACTCTGAAGTCTGCCAGAGCATCATGCCTATATCCTTATTATTCCTCCTTCCCTTTTTCATCCTCACACATCATGCAGCTCTCTGCAAGGTTTATAGCAGAACCTTTGGTATTCAATCATGTTGAAGTACAGTGTTGTATAGTAATAGTTCTTTTTTTTTTTTTTTCTAGAATAATCCAGATTCCTGGTAGGCTTTTAGTGGTTTATGCTGTAGCTCTGTGGTAGCGCTCATGTCAGTTAGGTTAGCACGATTCAGTCCCTTCATTTCAAAGGAGGGTGATCATCCACAAGGTAATTTTTGTAATGCCTCTTTTAAGCAATGGAAGAAAGCATCTTGTTTCTCTTTTGAGTTAACTTTGGAAATAGTCAAATATCTGGAGTTATTTGCTCCTATGAGTGGATGCAATCTGTAATTTAAAAATATTATGCACAGTTACATGTGCATAATTACTTATAAATTGTAGGCATTGACAGAAGTTGTCAATTGTGGGTGGACAAAAAGAAAACCAGGACAGAATCAGCCTTTGTAGTTTATATGAATGACTCTAACTATGCTTCTCCAGGGATTCCCCGCCGTCCCATTCCCTGGCAGTGATGCCATATACAATGGATGGATGACAGCTGGGACAGCACAAGCCTTGGAGGAACAGTGACATAGTGGACATATTTAGTTAGTCTTGGTGTCTGAAGGCCAGACTGGGAAGTAGCAGAAACCTGACCTCATAGGTTTTCCCTACAGAGATCTTTGTGTGCAAATTTTCTGACTAATTATTTTTGACTTAGTTAACCAGTTAGATCCTCCCAGTTAGCTCCAGGAGTTAGATCATCCCAGACTTGGAATCGCACCAACTGCATGTGACATTTTTGTAAGAGTTTTGCAAGTAAGGATGCAATCACTTCCCAGTCAAAACTAAAATTTCTGTTCTAAGTCAGGAGACATTTGACAATCAGGAGCATGTATGCAACAAAATATAGAATTTGTAGATCATATTTATATATGATAATGTAGGTTATCACAGGCCAGATAAAGTATTTAAAGTGCAAACTTTTCCTTGTCCTCAGACTTAAAGAATTAGGGGTCTCTGCAATTTCTGTCTATCTTGAGATTCTCTTTGCATAGCTTCATCAAAGCTAAAGCCTATTAATTTTTATTCTGTAAATACTGACAGAAGGATTCATTTGTTAGTTTTCAAGTAATAAGGATTTAACTATGTGGGGAAAAAAGCAATCCTTCTGAGAGATGTATTTTGCATTCCAAGTATGTGCTGTTTTAGTAGATATGGCACTTCTGAGTATTTCCACTGATTTTCCTGTAGATAAACCACTGATTCTTTGTGACTGTGCCAAAAGACAAACTGAGTTTTGTAAATTTTGAACAAGTAGAAGAAGAAATTTACAGGGAATTTTTCCTTGGGCAGGAGCAGTATATTGAATTCCCAAATGAATGGATTATTCAAAAAATCCAACTATTTGACATGGAAAGTCCTTGTTCCAGTGCCTGCTCTCTGGACTATGTCTTCTTTCTTTTCTTCTTTAATGAATAGGCATTTCTATTAACCAAGCAACTCAGTGACAAGGGGTTAAACCCCCAAATTTTCCTTTACAATGGAGTGCCCTGCTGCTCCTGAATGTCTCCATCCCTGGTGATGAGATTTGCATCCTCTGCTGCAGAGCAGCCCTGGGGAGGGGTGGGTACCTCTGCTCTGTGTAGAGTCTTAGCCCGTGGTGGCTGGGAGTGGAGTTTGGATTGCAGAGGAACAGGGGCCTGGCAGGTCAGGAATGAATCTCTGCAAGGCTGTCAACACATCCTTCACCTTCTCTGTCACTGGAAATGGTTTGGAATCACAGCCTTGCCTCGCTGTTGTGTCAGGCGTGACCTTAAGCACAGCACCTCTGTCTGCCTTTGCATGAGGTTTAAATATTGTCTGAATGGCCCTAAGCAGGAACAAAGTGCCTGCTCCCATGGAACAGCTCCTTCCTGGAGAGATGTGCAGTAAGGATCTTTGGGAATTGGGAAGCTCGAAATGGTGGAAACTTGTGAATGGTGGAAACTTGTGAATGCAGTCTTTAGTTGTAATAATTTCCTTGAAAAGTTGTTTTAGATTGACACAGGGCAAAAGGCCCTAATGTGCAAAATACTCTAATTTTTTTTTTTTTTTTAAAGATATAACTCTTGGAGAAAAATTGGTAGAAGAATTAGGTAAAGGTCATAGTAAACCCATTTGAGGCGAGCAGAAGGTCCTTCTGAAATGGTTGTGGAACTTCCTATATATTTGGGATGTCTGAGAACTGTGACTCGTGATTTAGAGTTTTTGAAGTGTTTCTCATTCAACTTTCTTGCATTGTGTGTGACTGTGAAGTAGCTAGAAGTTTCTATTGCTTTTCTATTTCTCACTGAGAGCTACCAATTAAAACATGACAATTAAGTGTCTGGATAAGATACTGAGGTCTTTTTAAAAACTATTCACTGCCATGGATGCAGAGGCCTTTGGAAAATCTGATCCTAATTTCTATTGTAGAATAATTTTTTTTCATGGAAGTTGGAATTGTTTTTTAATACTTGGAACAGAGATTCTTTCTGCTTGACTAAGTAAAACTAGTGCTTAGACATTTTTATTCTCCATATAGACCTTTAAAAAGGTATATTTAAAAAAATATTAATTCTTTCTTGTCTGTAAGAGTGAATATGAGTTGTCATTTGCATAATAGTTATTACCCAATAGTCCAGAAGTCTTCATGGTCCATTGTATAATCCATATTTGTTTCTTTGGTAAGTGTATTTTTGAGTTAATAGATCCTGCACCTCCAAAGGACTTGTAGAACATTGTGGGTTTTTCTCTCTCAGGGACTTCTGGCCCAGCAGACTCTGCTGCTCCATCAGGGATGTCAGAGTAACTGTGTTAATCCATGTTTGACAGGATATGCACCGAAGGAGTCATAAAATTTAAGTGGAAAAAAAAAATTTGGAGGTCCAGTAGACTGAGTTTATAAATTAAATAATTTAGGATTGTAACTATTTCATTTTTCCTTATTATGAAATGGGGTTTTTTTAGATAATATACAGGGAAGAAGGAAATAGGGTTAAACAATTATGCACATCATTTACAAATGAAAAGAAGCATTTTACAACTAATTACATTATTGTTTCTCTAATCATGTAAGTCCAGAAATGACCACAGAAGCCTTTTAATCAGCCTGAAATCTTCCTAAAATGTATGTGACTGTTCAGTCTGTTTCACTGTCCTGTTGCTGTTGCACTGACGTTTGACCATGGGAGATGCTCTAGGAAGCCCCTCCACGATAGAATTAACAATGTCATGTTCATATCTTGCTGCATGTGCTACCTTAGGCTGCTCAAGAGAAAATGCTTCACAACTTCAGAAGATAAGAAAATGAGGCAAAATTACTTTGTTTTTTCAGTCTTGAAAGAAGCCTTTTCAAAGGTTTGGGTTTACTGAGTTAAGCCAAGACCTTTCATATCAAGTTTCAGCTAAAAATGTATTGTAATAGCTGACATGTAAGTCCCTACAAGTAGATTTGTAATGGAAATGCCAGGAGGCCCCTAACTATAATCATTCTTGTTAGTGTAAATGCCTGCAAATGAATACAGTTTTCATTAATCTACTATTATGTGACACAAGTGACCACTTACAGAGAAACCCATAATAATTCTGGTTAACTGGCTGCATTCAAACATGTAGTTAAAAGTACCCACCTCTGTGCACAGGCTTTGCAGAACGCTTCTGTGCACTCAGGTCCCACGTGAGCCTTGTTGTCAAGTCTGAAAATGTGTAAATGTGATGCTGATTTTTCCACCGAGGCTATTTCTGCAGTTTTCACAAGATTTGTGGGGTGCTTAACTGACTTGGAATGCAGTACAGGATGACTCCTGGGAACAGGACAGGGCAGTAGCCTCCAATTGTTGCTGTTCAATAGGTGCTATTTTGAAGTGAATGGGTGTTCTGGTGGTTTTAATTGGCCAGAAAGCTATAGGACTTTGCTGGCAGTTTTGATTTAGGGATATTTAAAAGCCAATTAGTCCAATCATATGCAAGTATACATTTTACTCTCAGTCTTGAGTTTGTGCCATAACTTCAGCAAATGCATTGCTGAGGCAGCACTGGGAGGTTCATGTGGTTCCTGCTAGGGCCAAACTTTGCCTGATTTAAAGTGGAATAAAGCACTTTGCATCAAAATCTTTCTGGCATATTTTTCTTTCAGTTAAATGAAAAAAAAAAGTAACTCTTTTTTTTTGATCACAAAATCATCCTGGGCAACGTAGATTGTAATGCATAGTCTTAAGCATAGAATTAAATTTTGATTAACTTTTTAAATGCATTGATTTCTTGAAAACACAAAGATGTACGAACTTTTGATATGGCATTTTAGGGACAGTTGTCTATGCCCCAATTATATGCTGGCTGAATGACAGTTTTATGTAAACATGAAGGCAGCAATTATTTAGTAAAGATTAGGAATAAGAGATTTCAATCAGAATTTCTTCTCTTGGATATGTTAAGGTTTTGATTTAATCCATTTTATGTGGAAATAATTCTTTTTGTTAAGGAAGTATATTTGGTATTTTATGTAACTTAAATTACCTCTTGAGATAAACTTTTTGAAAACAAAGAATGTGAAAATGTGTTTTCTCAAGTAATTCATATAAGCTGGAATGCATTAATGGACTTCTTTGTATTGATTATGAGCTGGAGTGCAAACCTTTCCTGGACACAGCTGATCTGTTTCCCCACTGTTTGATCTTGCTCTTGCTGTTTGTTGTTCCTTATTTCTGCCCGTCTGGCCTGGCCCTGCAGTGCCTGTGTCTCTCTTGCCCTCGTGTGTGTATCAGACCCCACTCATTCAGCTCCCAACTCTCTTATTTCATCTGGCTGACGCAGTCAAATGGTTGGGCATCAATGGTTCAGCGAGTTCGAGCACCTTTGCAACCAAAACCAGTGAAGGGGAGTTTGTGGTGTGTGTCTGACAACAACCCCAGGCCAGCTGGCCCTGGATTGTGGCACAGCAGGAACAACCCCCCGAGTGCCCCCCAAGAGAGAAACACTCCTGTTTTCCTGGCTGTTCTGTCCTGACACCTTCCTGCCCATGAGACAGGAGCACGTGTTACAAGTTCAGGCTGTGGGTGTTTTGCTGCTCTTTGTCCTTTTGGCCACCCTGGCTTTGCTCTGCAAACCTGGAGAGAGGATGGAGGTGGTTGGGGGGGGCTTCTCCCTTGTAGCCAGTGGTGCTGCCATAGGCAGGATTATGTCTGGAGTTGGAAGCAGCAGAACAAACAACCATCGAGACAGAAAATCTGTTTTCTGGCAAATATTCAGAGTGATAAAGAACCTTAGGAGAAAAAGCTAAAATGTGATATATAGGCAAAATTGTTTCTATGCAGAATATTTTTTCTAAAATTCCCTTGAGGGATCCGCTGTTCTCTGAACATCCAAGAAGTTCCTTGTGCTTCTGAACAGCTTCCCACACATTCTCACCCACTCTGCTTTGCTGTGTCATCTTAGTGTCATTTTAAAATACTAACAAAAGCATTTTGTTTATAATGCAGAAAGAAAAATCTTGAGAGGGAAAAGAATGCCTTTTGTATATTATTTTAGCACATCAAAGCTGACTCATGAGTAGCAAATATGAAGTAATTAATGTATTTAAAATTCACAATTCTTGAGTTGCAAATTTAAGAAGTGCTTTGGTTAGAATAATCATACTGAGTACACTTTTGAATATATGATTGGTATCTTGGGCTTCCAAGGTGCTACTTATATATTTTGAAGTGCTGTGCAACAATGTGCTGTTCCCTGTATTGTCTCTGTACACCTCTGACACAGGTTTTGCACAAATGGCTACGTTATCAATGAGACTCCAATTTTGTGGTTGCAGACCTTAAAAGGTAACAAATGTGGTTTGTTACTGACTTTAAGAGATTTTCCTTCAGCATCTAAGTTACAAGAATTAACTCTAACAGATATTTTAGTTATTGACTGCTAATTGACATTTGGAATTGGCACAGATCTTTATTCATGAAGGTAAGAACATGTCTCAAACGAAGTCTTCACCAGCAGAAAAGAATTGCTACATTGGGCTGTTTGCCCTCATGTTTTCTAAATATAACTCAACAGCAGTCTGGTTCCTGAAGCCATCTGCATTAACATGGCTGGAGAAAATAAAATATTGTATTAGTCACTTATTTTTTTAAGTGAGCATAACTTGGCAGAAAATGAAAGTAATTTCATAAGGAAATATTCTTCTAAGGAAAGTTACCAGTGTACTACAGCAAAGAGGTTTTTGTAATAGTAGTGATCGTGCTTGTCTCCTGTTTGTAGCACCCAACTGTAGAAGCACCTCCAAAATGGATTTTTAAGACCTAGTTTTGAGAGAGTAGCAATTACTCACTTCCTCTGTTTTCTGCCTAAAGCACTGGCTAATAGGAAAAGGGTAATGATTTGTCTAAAGGTGACCCGGAGCAGCAGAAGGGAGGAAGTTTAAAATGTATGGGTGGAACTCAGGTAAGCCAATTGTTCCAGCGTATCAGCGCTATCAGTTTTCCATAATCACTGCTTTCATGAAAGTATTCTTTTAACTGGACACAGTTAAAGGCAGGCAAAATAAAGGCAGGCAAAATAAATTTAACAGTATTTTGGCTTGTAATGATAAATCGTAATCAAACTTTTCTCATTGTTCAGACCTGCAAAGGTATTCATAGAAGGGCAGGCATTTGAAAGGAACATTGTTTTTGTTACCATCACTAAGGTTTTACAGATGTGCTATTCAGTATTCCTCTCTTCTGCTGAAAAGGTTATGCTGTTGTCTGGTTTTGCAAACCCAAACTGTGGGCTGCCATTCTCCCAGGAATTTGTCTGCCTGACAGTGACACAAAAAATCCTCAGTATGATCTTTGTCTGGTGTTCCATGATTGTTGTTGTTACTGTGCATTCCTTTATTTCTGTGTGATGGTTTTTTTTCTGTTTGATTTTCTGGTCCATCTTATCTGTACTGTTTCTTTTCTGAATTAAGGTGTGGCAGGTGCGTTCATATGATTCACATGATTAAACATTGGAAGGAAGTTCTGGGTTTGTTTTGCTTTTGTTGTTTTTAAAATTTTTATGGGGTTTTGTTTGGGTTTTTTAGGTTGTTTGGTTTGGGCTTTTTTTTGTTACGGGTTGTTGGTTTTATATTTTTTTTTAACCCAAATATTTTTCTGTAGGTAATGATAGTGTTTATAGTGGTGGGAAACATTTCCTTATGAACATGTGTGTTCTTTATAGTCAATAATGCTGCAGTACAGGCAGTTTGACTTACAAAATCCGTTCCTCTTTAGGCATCTGCTGGCACTTTGCTGATTTCTCTGGGGGCTGTTCAGTCTCACTGCACCCGTTTTTCATTAAAACTTATTTTCATTGAGATATCAATTTGACAGCTATAACAGTCTTCAGATAGAATATAAGACCTTTAGCTTTGTGTGTTTATCCATAAACTTTTATTTGATTATTTTAAAAGATTTGAAATAGCTTCTGCAGTGGCTGCATTTAAAGCCATCACTGACTAGTGCCATCCATAAAGGGGTGGTTGAGCTAGAACTTTTGTATATTTGGAAGTAATCACTCTAAAACATCATCGAGTGGCAGCTGCAGGTGCATGCTGCCGTTTCCATTTATGACCCTTCTAATGCACACGTTTCTGTCTATTCTATGGAGATAAAGTTTCACTGCATTTTTATCAACCAGATACTGTATATTATGCAATCACTTTTCCTCTTGCATCTTCATAAACTTTCCTTTAGAAGAATGCCAGTGTGTGGCCTAGAGAAGAAAATATGGCTAGAATACAGCATGCAGTTATCTGGGCTGGCAAAATAATCTGTGATTTTTGTGTGTTGGAGCATCTGGCCACTGTTATGGGATTCCTCTCAGTTCTGCAAAAAACCCCCTCTCCTTGTGTTATAGAAGCTGAGCCCAAGTTCCCTTTAGCCCTGCTCCTGCTTTCCATCCTGGGGAGTTTTCAATGGCAAATTAAATGGGTGGTCTAGTTAGCATTAATTGTCTAATGATGATCTTCTGTCCTGTCTCTAGGCTGTCTGTAGCACAAGGGGAATCAGTAATGTAATTCATGTTTTGTTAACTAAAAAGTGGCAATAACTGAAGTGAAAGGCTACTGAACATTCCCTGTCAGTGCTCTAACACAGTACTACCAACACAGAACTGTTTGGAAGCAGTTTCTCCAGGTACTCTTAGCCCAGTTTTCTAACACCTTGTTTTAATTTTTCCCTAACACTTTCCAAACCTCTGTTGCTGAATGGAAACAG